AAAGACTGCCAGCTACAATCCGCAGTCTGCCAGGGAAGGGCGTCGCGGGGAAGCCGCGGCTCGGCCCGTTTTCAAAGACGCAACGTTGCAAGGAAACAGTTTCATAAACTCGGAGTTGCCCTTGCGGGCGCACAGGAGAGCCGAAGCGAGGCGCATATCAAAGGGGCATGGCTCTCTGCGAGCGCTGGCCCTTCGGCGCCGCGCCGCTCGATGCCAACGCCGCCATCGGATCGACGCCGCCCCCTTCCGCGGGGCACGGGGTTTCGCTGGGCAAAAAGATTGGAGGGGCGAGGCGATGCACGACAATTCGATCGAGCAGCGCTTCGCCGCCGCCAACGCCGTCGCCCGCCGAGAAGACGGGGGCGCATTTGCGCCCAAGGGAGTTGGACCCACGCGCATTGATTGCAATCTCCGCCCCTCCACCCATGTCCTTGCGCATGCAATTCTGGAGCGGCCACGGGGTAGCTTTGTTCTCAGAAGTGGCTCGCCCCCGTTGGACCGCGAGAAAATGAACGACCCTGCCCGGCAGCGTGACTTTAGATATGAGCGCGCAGACTTTTCCCTGAACCTTGGGAACCCAAAGTCAACGCGCAACCCGCTAACCCGGCGCAGTTCATCAACCAGCAGACAGCGAAATTTTTCACGCGAGAAGGCGCGCGCACGGCGCCCGCCCCCCCCCCCCCCCCCCCCCCCACACACCACTTTCATTCGCACGCGCAAGAGCGCCCGCAAGGCGCTATATCTTGCAAGGCTACGTGGCATTGACACACTGGCGAACCGAATCGCATCTTCTCCCTCGCACAGCGCACGCATTGAGATGATCTCGCAGAGGCGGCGCGAGTTATTCTGAAGGGAGGCGACGGCCCATGCCTCGCCGAAGCTTCCCTCGGCATCTGACTCCGTCTTCTAACAGCTGCGCAGGACTTCACCTGGAAGAGGACCGACCCCTGCGAGATGGTTCTCTCGCTGTCACGTCTTACGCATGAGACTGAAACTATTCAGCGAGGGCGCGCTGGCACCGACTACGCCAACTTCCCCGACGCTCAAGGGAAGGAATCAAGATGGCCATAGATGAAGCTTTGCCCAGGAATGATTGAAAACAGGTTCGGTCCCAGTTGGCTTTAGGACAACGACCGAAAATAGCTTTATCCCCCCCCCCTCGCAAGGACGAACATGGCAATGTTTTGGAGCCCGCGGGGGCCGCAGCCAATGGCCCGCAAAAACATGTTGGGGCGACCGGCTTGCGTTGAGCGTCTCTCCTTCGGATGTCTCATAGTTTTGTCTCACAGGCGCCACGCTTGACGCGGGCGCGCCTCGGAAGCTTGAGAATCTGATCTCTTTGGCCGAACTCTGTCGACTGATGCGCGGGCCCCCAGGGGGCCGCGCTGCGGGCCCTGGAGGGGCCATATGAAATTCTGAAGCTTGCGCCAGGCGAGCGCGCGCGCATACGGCACCTACCCCTCTGAATGTCGGCGCGGCTGCTCGCGAACCCCTCCTTGTTAAGCATGGTGCAGTAGTTGATATAGCGAAAGGTACTCAGCAAGCCGTCATTGCTGCGAGCCGAAGAAGCATTTTGTTGAGTAAAAAATCTACAAGTTGCATCATCGTTTCATGCGCAGCCTCCTCAACACGGCCGTTGATCGAGGTCTAGAGGATGCGCAATGTGGAGGAGCCGCAAGCAGAATCACCGATGTTGCCCCTCACTTCATCGCATCTTGGCTCGTGGACCAGTGCACTTGTAAAGCGTCGCGCTTGCGTTGTGCATTGGCCGCAAGGCAGCCTTTTACATGGCGATTAGGCGGACGGCGCTTGGTCTTCCGACCGAGGAGGGAGATTTTCACGAGGCTATGTCAGCCCTCCCCGGTCACCCAGCCTTAGCATATGCCATCGAGATTATGGCCGCCCCCCCCCCCCCCCCCCACCCACCCACCCCACCCCCAGTGCCGATTCCGCCATACCCGACAAGCATCTATACGCTATGTCTGCCGAATGCAATCCTGTGGATTTTGGGGGGTGGGGGGGACCTAGGTTGCACGTGGCTGATGTTGGGCTGTAAACTTGGAACTGCCCTGGCCGCTGACGCGTTTAATCTTGGCTTCGCCCCCATCGCACGCAATGTCCAAGTAAAACAAGCAACGAGCAAGAGTTGGGGCGGACGCCCCCAGCCGACGCACCGCGCCGTCTTGCCGAGCCGCGGGATCACGAACACGCTCAAGACACACGAGCTTTCGTGGATGATTTGCGATAGTTGGCGCCTCTCCCACCCCAGCAGCACCGCAGGAATACGCCTGGGCGGCCGCAGTTATTGTCGAGAGAGATGTTTTTCAAGCAGGCTTGCGTTGGAACGTCGGCACGACCTTTTTTCTTGCTGCGCCTTGCGGGTCGCGGCGTCAAGGCCGTCGAAAAGCGCGCCTGGGAGGCGGGGCCTCCGCGGGCCTTCCGTCTGGCGAAGTGGCCCGCATTTGTCGCGCCATCAAGGTCTCGGGCACCCATCTGAATGATAAGCGACGCTGCGCCATCCACCTCTCTAAGAAGGTACAATACAGTGAGGCTTACGCTACTCACCTATGTACTTTAACTTATCTGCGTGGTCTTCTGTTTCCTCCAGAGGCCTCAAGAAGCTCAGGAACGCTCGGGCCATGCCCTTTCGCGCGGCGCGCGGGATGTCTGTGGGGAACCACGGCGAGGGACAGATATCTCATGCCGAAGTGCCCACGCACGCAAACTGACTAGGCGTCGCACACGCGGCCAGGACTGTTAGGTTAAAGTGATTGCCGCGCTTTCTCATGCGAAGTCCAGCCAGGCCACTGGGAACGCTCGATTTCTTGTTCCAGCATTCCACTGGTGGCCTGCAGTGCTTCAGGATGATATGAGATGGGCCACGCGTAATATTTAAAATAAGGCAGCGTCAGGTCAAGGGGCCTTATCGCATTGGGTTGATGTCGCCAGAGTGCCACCCCGTGCTTTCAAGACCATATCAGGAGTATTGTTTTGCCTGGTCTGGGGCGTCAGCACTGTGATGTTGATGTTAAGATGTGCCTTATGTTGGAAGGGCCCCTCCGCGCTTTGACCCCCCTGGGATGCCACCCCGCGCGCCGTTCCCCGAGATGCCAATGACGCGGCGCATGTCGTGAGTTACCAGCGCGGTTCCCACGCAACCCAGAAGCGCGCGCTTACTATGCATCCCAACAGACAGCATAAGCTCAGTGGTAACATCAGTACGTGTGTCTACGATTGCACTTGTCAGGTTTGCATCCTAACCGCCTCGTCTCTGACCTCCATCACCCCCTCGTTGCCAGGGTCGGTGGGGATCCGCGGGCGTCCGCGCCCTTCAAGGGGAGGCGCTTGAATGGAGGGAACTGGCACTTGCTACCCAGTCTCCGAATCGTAGTAAGAGGCTCCCCGAAAGTTGTGCTGCGTTGCCTGAAGTTAAGGTGTTCGGACGAAGGATGCGCCTTCCCGGTCCGCCACCGCAGGGGCCGCCTATTGGGTATCCCACTGTTGTCCTCTCTCAGCTCGCTTCCCCGTCCTCTCGTCTGCTCCCCATTCCCTCGCGGGGCTTCAGTTCCTCTCTGTGTGTTCTGGTTTGGGGAAGCAGCCCTTCATCTAAGCGAGTGCGTTTTTTTTTTGAGCGTGGCACTCAGGGGCGACCATGTCCTTGATCCGCCCTTGGCCAAGTTCGTTACTCTGGTGGCCCCTTTCGCCCACGACGGAGCTCTCGGACTCATCTGGGCGGTTGGAGGCCCATCTTGGGCCCATCCTTCGGCCTTGGACGAGGCTCGCCCCTGTGGTTTGATACGTCTTTTGTGGAGCCACGGGGAGCCCTGGGGTCGATCTGATTTCTCCCCGAAAGAGGCTGAGCTCGCTCGAGGAGGCAATCACTGACTGAGAACTGCTTCCGCCATGCACCTGGCGTCGGCAGAGATAGGCGCCTCGTTCGTGTATGAGCTGCCCTCTTCCTCCTTCGTCTCTCCCTGCAGCCTAGGCCATTTCAGCGAGGCAAGGATTGACACCTCGCATTGGAGATCAGGCGCAGCCCGTGCCATGATATGCAGCTTCTGGGATGTCGATACGGATGAGGTGCGTGAGGATTTGTTTCTTGCATCATGGTTGCCTCATGTTGCCCCGCCCGCTCTGAACGACACTCTTGTCCCCGTCAGTGTTGCGCCCACCTCCTCAGTGGAGGATTGGGAGGAGTCGGTGAGAGTCTGGCAGGCCCATCGTTGACCACCCCCCCCCGGCCCCCCCTCTCCCGCTTAATCTCCCGTTGTCCTTGCGCTTAGATAGGCAGCCAAGTCACATGCCTTCAACCCCGATTCCGAGGAGGAGGAGGAGGAGGAGAAGTAGGAGGATGAGGAGGACGGGGGTTGAGGAGGATGGGGAGGACGCATGAGCGAGGACAGGGTACAGGTGAGGAGGGGAGAGGAGAGGAGGAGGAGGAGGAGGAGGAGGAGGAGGAGGAGGAGGAAGAGAAGCAGGGGAGGAGGAGGATGAGGGCGGAGGTTGAGGCGAATGAGGAGGACGCACGAGTGAGGAGAGGGTACTGGTGAGGAGGGGAGGGGAGATGAGGAGGAGGAGGAGGAGGAGGAGGAGGAAGAGGAGGAGGAGGACAAGGGTCGTCGTCGTCGAACGATGGTACAAGCATGACGCTGTGCTCAATCACGATGCTTGCAAAGAGTCAGAGGCTGCCAACGCGGCGAACGCATCTCATCACAACCGCCTGCTCGAGATAATGAAATTGGGAGAAGGGGGAAAGGCTGGAGGGGGGAGAGGGGAGAGAAGCAGAGGAGGGGGAGGACGAGGGGGGGGAGGGAGGGCTAGAGGGAGGAGGGAGGGAGAGGGAGGGAGAGGATATGAGGAGGCGGAGGAGGACGGGGAGAGGAGGGGGAGGCGGGGGGGGGGGGGTGGCTTGGCTTGGGTTGGCCCTCAAGGCATCCAGCACGAGTGAATCAGACCTGAGGAACAGGGGATGGGACGGAGGTCCGCCGTTTCTCCGGCAGGAGCACGCGCTTCTGGCGGACCTCCTCTCCCGCCTCGCCGCGCGGCTGCCCAGCGCGCGGCGGGTGCGACTGCTCGGGGCGGGCCGCCCCCCCCTGCGGCCGCGGCGGTGGCACGCGCGCGCACGCTCGGGGGCGGCGTCTGATGCGGGGATGTCGCGGCTCGCTCTCGGCCCTTGGGAGCCCTCCCTCGGCCCAAAGACCGTCAGGGGATCGCCCGAGATTCAGAGCGTGAACTACCTGCCCCGCTTTCGCTTCCGGGCAAAACCAAGTCATACCACGCGCCTCCTCGTCAAGCGGCCTGACCAGTACTGGCCGTAGTTTGGCATCGCTTGGTGTCTCTTGGAAGCGAGGGTGGTCCAAAGCGAGGTAGGTTTGTTTTCCCCATAAAGATGCAACGCACAGCCCCAGGGAAGGGGTCAAGATTCCCTGGGGGGCACGTCACGAAAAAAAATCGGCATCGGAGAAGAGGGTTGGCGGCGAGGGCGGCGGCGTCAGCGTCGTGGCCAGCGGCACTCGAAATCGAGATCGATGCCAGCTCTCATCTTATCGACGGGGCCTTTGCAGTCGAGTGTGACCAGAGCCGACGCTGACGCGATGCTGTGCTGGCTGCCGCAGCTCGCGGGAATCGTCCAGAACGGATTGGATAAGGTGCCGCTTGTGTTCACGATTCATGCCAATGGCGTTTCTCGGTTCGTCGTATTTTTGGGTTTTGCGGCGTCAGTCGGGACGTAGCCGTCGTAGCACCCGAAGCCCAATTGGGCCTTATTTTTGGCCGGCATCTTGTTCTGACACCGCTACTTCTCCGTCTGAACTATCTTCCCGTATCCGTCGCCCCCTGTTTGCTTTCTTTCCAGAGACGATCATTTGACCTGGTTGCCACAGCATGAGACACTACAACAACCACGCGCGAGAATTCAAATTGGCATGCCAGAGCTCCCTCGTTCAATTGTAAGTTTCCTCGCACATTGATTTACGCGTATCCTCTCGCGTTCCGTCCTCTTCCACTTGAAGTGATGCCGCGAAGCTTGAAGCCTCTGGCCAGGTGGAGGCGTCGGCGGAGTACTACCAAGAGTGGGCGCTCGCGGACGGCCTCTGCTCTCTCCGCCACAGCACCAGGTCACTGACACGGTCTTGGGACAGAGAGGGGAAGAACAGGGAGCATGGACAGGCGTGTGGATGCGGACGCAGATGAGACGGAGACGGGGAAGGGACAGCAGCACGGCGGCACAGGATGATTCATGAAGGGATTGGGACGCGAGGGTTCGCGGGTACACGTGAGGATCAAGCAGTTCCTTCCAGAATTCTAAGAGCGTTACAGCAGAGGCCTAGTTCATCGATCAAGGAGTTGGAGGAGCAGGAGGATTGAAGGAGGGGAGGGGGAGGAGGAGGAGGAGGAGGAGGAGGAGGAGGAGGACGAGGAGGAGGAGGAGGAGGAGGAGGAGGAGGCTCGAGGAGGAGGCTCGAGGAGGAGGCTCGAGGAGGAGAAGGGTACAGAGTTTACGTTTTGTGCATTTGTTGGGGGAGGCCTCCAGAGGTTCTTGGGGACCGAAGCCTCTCCTCCGGAGGTCTCCCGGGACCCAGCTCACAACGGCCGCGGTGCCCGATACGTTCTCGGCATTTCGCGGAGTTCTCAGGGATCACCAGGTTGGTCGTGCCAGATTCTCTCCGTAATTGAAATGCCTTCTCCTCGGAAGAGGCTGGAGGGAGAGGGATGGGGGGAGAAGAAGGAAGGCTGAAGTGGGGGGAGGCGAGGACGAACGAGCGAGCGGGCAGTTCAGGGCGCCCGCAGCGGCGCAGAGACGGCCGCGATTCGCCCCTCGCAGCCTGGCGCCTGACTTAAGTCGGGCCTGTCCCTCTACAGGAGGAATACTCCAAAATAGTCAAAAAATAGTCCGGGGACGTTTTTTAGCTTGTGTTTGACCATTTGGGAGAGTATGTTTGGAGTATTTTTCGTTTTTCGCCCAAAATCCCCCCTGAAGGGGGACATGCCCGACCTAACGCCTGGCCCTTCTGCGTGGGTGCCTCTCGCCCCGCGAGGCACGAGGCGCGAGTCGCGAAGCTTGGTGACGTACGACGGGGGGCATGCGCCGCGGCGACGCCGCGGCGACCCCAGCGCAGACGTTCGAAGCCGAATGCCGCCAGTGGTCCGGACTCGGCCGGCATCGAGCCATTTGCGCTGTCGGGAGGCCGTGGTCGCTTCCGGGTTGCGCGATCCACGCGCTGACAAAAACCAGCGCCGACGTCATGGCGACGTGAGCCTGTCTTCGGGCAGTCCGCCCCGGTGCGCGCCTCAAGAGGACAAAGGAGGAGGAGGCGGAGGAGGTCGGAATAGCTTTGGATCGTTCGGCCTATCCCGAGGACCCGAACTACACCCAACAACGGCACACCACCCCGAGACAGAGCCGAAGCTCTCCTCGACGCGGTGCACCGCCGATGCAGGTTTCACTACACCCTGCGGGGACACTGCAGCACAGCAGGTCGACAACGTCCCGTATGCCATCACCGGGCGCATCCAGCTGGGGCGTCACCACCTCGTGGACCACCTGCATCTCACCCCTGCAGACATCAAAGCCCAGCGCAGGCCTCACCGCGGAGTCTTGCCCGCGCCCCGACGCCCATGCAGCTCCTCGCGCCGCACACGCGCGGATGCACGACGCCACGCGCGCCGCCCCTCGCCTTCGCACCCTGGCCTGTGACTCGGGCCACCGGGCCACGACGCCCGTCGGGGCGCGGACGCGTGGCATCCGCGGGCGCTTGTGCCCCTGGGGCCCCCCGCCAGCACCCCGGGCACCCGCAGGGCTCCCACGGGTCTGCCGCGGCAGCGGACGGGGCCCACCCCCGCGCAGGTGGGCACCGTGCGGGCCGATCCGAGGACCTCGTCAGGGACGGTGCCCTCAAGGTGGAGGAGGAGACATGGGCCGTGACGAAGATCATTCGGAATCGCCATCTGTAGCAGCGGTCTCGCCTTCACCGGTCATCACCACGTTGTTGACTGCGCAGCTCTGTAGTTCAATCGTGGCAGGTTCCATCGGCCAGCACGCTTCTTGTTCTAGGCGTTGCGAAAGAAAGACGGCATAGAAAGACCAGGCCCCGAAAACCGAGATTGCAAACCCACGGTTCCCAGGGCAGCAGCCCTCCCTGCCGCCGCGCATCCCCCACGCAGGCCACGCCTTGGCAGGGTTCAGCTCCAGCCGGGAGGGGGCAGAGGAGAAAAGAGAGGAGGGCGCGCCAGGAGAAGTGGATGCGGGAGGCGCACCCGCGCGTGGAGCTGAGCTTGCGCGTCGGGGATTTGTCCGAGGCCCCTCCCCGCTGCGCCTCCTGCTCCGGGTCCCCCACCCCTCGCTCGCATCCTGCCGTTCTTCCTGCTCGTCCGCCTCCTCCTCCGCTTCTTCGCTCTCGCCCCCTGTGCTCAATTCAAGATCCCGTTGCCCAGTTTACCGCTTCGGCTGCACTGAGCGTTCGCCAGCGTCAGGACGAAACATCGTTTTCATCCTGGGGCCATGTACGGGTACCCTTCGGAGCAGCTGTGTTTGCGTGCCGAGTGGAAACAAGGTCCGGAAGCGCTTCTGATAGTGTCTCGGCCTGGGGTGGGGGGATCATCTGCAATTTGACGGACAGCACCTTTGGCATGGTGCAGGTTGCCATGCCATATAGATGGATTGGATGGCGAATTTGGCACAGCAAGCAAGAAAGGCAATGGGACCTAGCGACGACGGTTCGATGCTGGATCTATCGGTCGTCTGTGAAATTCTGGCATCGCCGCCAATGTCGAATCAGCAGCGAGGCATGATGTGTGTCAAGATTGTTGGAGTTCGGTCAGACTTCACACCTACAGTTATATAATATTTCCTCTTTGCTGTCACTACGGTCAGCGAGATACCCCGCATAACATGATCTGTTCGTGCACCAGGAGAAAATGATCAAAAGGATTATACGGCTTCTTCCTCGGGGCCGCACGAAATACACGTTCCAGGTAAGAAAGATATGTCCCCAATAGCCTAAGGGGGTACGATCGAAGATGACGAGGGCGAGTATCGAGGGTTTGGGGTGTGTATATATAAAAATAAATAAATAAATGCATTGAATGGCACGCGAGCAGATAAGAGCGAACAGTCTTGATACGATTGTTGTTGTTGGTGCTCTTGTTGTTGGTGTTGTTGTTGGTGTTGGTGTTGGTGTTGGTGTTGGTGTTGGTGTTGTTATTGTTGGTGAGTGTGCTGTTGTTGGTGATGTTGCTGCTGTGATGGATGTTGATCTTGTTGTTGGTGTTGTTGGTGGTGTTGATGTTGGTGTTGCTGTCGTTGTTGTTGGTGATGGTGGTATCGTTGTCGTCGTAGTTGGTGTAAGTGTTGTTGTTGTCGTTGCCGTTGTCGTTGTCAATTTCGTTGTCGTTGTCGTTGTGTTTGTTGTCGTTGTCGTTGTCGTTGTTGTTATTTGTTGCTGCTGTCGTCGTCGGCCCGCGACCCGCCCGCGACCCACCCACGACCCACCCGACACCCGCCCGCAACCCACCCGCGACCACCTGCGACCCACCTGCGACCCACCCGCGACCCCCCCGCGACCCGCCCTGCGACCCAACCAGCGCCCGCCCTTGCAATCTTATCCGCAATTTCGAGGCGCTAAATGCATCGCCAGGGCGCGCTGCCGCCAACATAGTGTCCCCCCTTCAACATGTTCCAGTTGATTTGAAATCAAGATGGCGGACAGGCATTGTATCTTAAGTGTGAGTAAAAGATTAGAGCCTCAACGAGTACTCAGATCTTGAGCAGCGATTGTTCAACCAGGCAAACTACACAAGCAGTTCCGTCGATAGTTGTGTCGGCCAATGAGTTTGGCGGCGCTCCCGAATTACTCTAACTTCACTTGTTTCGCACGTTGGGAAGCTCTACGAGTCATGTGTTTAAAACGCGTACCCTCCAAGATGCCACGCGGAGGAGGAGGTGCGCAGGGAGGGGGCAGGTTGCGCCTCATGGAGGCCCCGAAGCCTACAGCAGCAGGATGAGGAGGAAGGGGATGTGCGAGATACGAAGGGCGCACGGGCCGATGGGCCCATTGGGAGGCATGGGCACCACCTGAAGCCCCAGCCCCCGGCCATGACGTCGATGCCGATGACAGCACCGCTCCCTTGGCGTTCAACTGGGCTTCAAAGCCCCTTCACGAGGGGCCACTGCTCGCCCCCGCTTGCTTGGCTTGGGCCCCAGGTCCTGAGGAAGTGAGCAAGGGCGGCGGCGTCCTTGTTCGGGCCCTGCACCTCCGCCCCACCAGCTGGGGCCGTGGTTGACACAGCGGGCGCCCATAGCATGCTGGCATTCACCCCCACTTCGGCAAGGGGAGCGGCCGCAGACGCCAGGTGCGCCACGCCAGTCGCCAACGCGTCGGCCCGGCCGTCGTCCTCGAGGCTGTTGCTCTCCTTTTGGTGGCTGCCACCACCAGACGGTGGTCAGCACCGCGGTCTTCGTCTGCGCTCCGCGACCTGCTCGGCGCCGCCGAGCGCGCCGCCTCTTCCGCCTGGGCTTAGAGGGGACCAGGCGCGGGCGACACGGGAGCAGCACGCGGGGCAACGCCACCTCCGGCGCCTCGACCACGGATTGCGGCCTTGGGCGGCACGCCGAGGCGTGCTACTGCAGCTTTCATCGGCCTCCCGGCCGCTCTCAGGAGGCGGAGAGCCTCACTGCTCTGGCCTGCACTGAGGCCCGCGGCGGCATGGGCCACCACCAGGATGCCGCGGGCAGCCTCGAGGGCGGCGCTGCGCGTCGTCGCCAGCAAAGGCATGGCGCGCAGCAAGGAACAGAGCACACCGAGCCATGCCAACCGGAGCCAAAGCGGCCAGGAGGATAGCGAGGAGGAGGAGCAGGAGCAGGAGGAGGAGGAGGAGGAGGAGGAGCAGCAAGAGGAGGAGGAGGAGGAGGAGGAGGAGGAGGAGGAGGAGGAGGAGGAGGAGGAGGAGGAGGAGGAGGAGAGGGAGGAGATCCCCCCGAAGGGCGCCCGCCACTGCCCGCAAGGAGGCGCTGCCCGCCGCCGCGCTCACGATCGGGCTGCACCCGGAGGTCCGGACCAGCGCGCCGGCCGCCTCCGCGGTCGAGGTCGTCGTTCGGATGCGACGATGGGGGCAAATAGCCCACTGGTGGGCATTGCACGCATTCGCCGGGGAGCCTCGCCGAAGACATGTGTCATTGACGTACTTGGATACATGTACAATTCCCCACTGGGCTAGTCGCCCCCATCGTCGCCTCCGAGTTGTCGCCTTAAGATTTCGCAGACATCGACGAAGATGTTCGTAACTTTCGGCGTCCGATCCCAGACGAAGTTCTGGCCAGGACGGACCTTCTGGAGGCCGTCCACATTTCAGCCAAGGCGCTTCTGTCGCTTGCCGATCCTCCCTTACCGCTGCGTATCCGATATCCTCCTCTGATCCTCCTAATCCAAGGACGACGACGTCGTCGTCCTCTTCTTCCTTCGCCCCAATACGTCAATGTCTCCGTCCGCGGGCGGATGATGAAGAGTCAAGGAAGGAGGACGAGGGATGACGAGGGACAGGGGGGGACGGGAGTAAGGATGAGGTGGCAGTGATTCAGGATGAGGACGAGGATGAAGAAGTTGAGGACGAGGCAGGGGGGAGGACGAGGGACCAGAAGCTGGAGGAAGCAGGAGAAAGGAGCAGGGAGGAAAAAGGAGGAGGAGGAGGATGGGAGGAGGAGATCGAGGCGGAGGAATGGAGTGGAATGATCTCATCCGCATTCTTTCCCTCGTGGGCGTGAAGATGGACTCTGGGCAGTCCTGCTTTTCCTGCTGCTGGTTCGCCTGCCCCCTCCTGCGCCCTCCGCCTTCTGCCTCCATCAGCCTGCCCCTCCCTCCATCTACCTCCTCTTCCCCTCCCTCACCCCTCCCCATCCTGCTCCCAGACATGCTCGAACGGGACTTGCTCTGTTTTTCTCACCCCGTCTTTGCTGTGTTGTCCTTTTCTCTGTTGCCGTTTCCAATCGGATGCGTGCGTCGCGCCCGCTATCAGATTTGCTAAAGACTTGCTATCTCACTTGTTTTACAGAAAGATCCAACCTGTCACATCAATCTCGTCTTGAATATGTTTCTGTACTTGTTCCCGGAGCTCCGGCTGCAATACCACGGCCGCCATGCCCCGCCCCGCCTCGATGGCCATGGTTCCTTTTCTCCGCCGCTCTACATCCAGCTGTTCATCCAGCTGGCCACGCCGCTCTACCTCCAGCTGTTCACCCAGCTGGCCACGCCGCCCTACACCCAGCTGTTCATCCAGCTGGTCGTGCCGGTGTACATTCGCTCTCAGCATCGTTGTGTTGCATATTTTACCGATCACTGTGACGGGAGACGTCAATCTCGGTCCGTCGGGGCAGCACCAACCCATCCGCCAGGACGGGCGACGGGGGAGGCACACACCTAACACTACAAGTACTGTCAAGGACCCCGGCCAGGCAGACGCCCATGCCGAACGAATCTCACATCGAGGGTGCCGGCGAATGGTCCCGAGTTTTTGGCGACTGTGCCCGAAACCTTAGGAAGAGCAGGCAGAGAAGAGCGGAAAGACAAGGGAGGGTCTGGCGATTGCGTCACCCGCACTCTTGGGACAGCGAAGCGGACCTGGGAGAACCCGTATTATGATCCTTTGGAACGGGACCTTTTTATCTTACCCACACATTCCTTGCAGCCGGGCGGGAGTGGGTCCCGATGCGTCTTCCTTTTGAGAATCGTGAATGCGGCAGTGTTCGGTACAGTGACAGCACGACGTACGACGAGCATACCGTTGATTGTGTCACGGGATGTTCCGAGCACCGAAAGCACCGCCACCTCGCGACAGCAGCACACGATACGCAGATGAAGTGGAATACCCAGGGCAAGCATCCACGGCGTTTCCGAGGCACTATGCCCGAGCATCGCCGGTGATGGACCCCCGGCCCCCTGCACCTCCACGACACGCGAAGGGAGCTTCACTCCGGACGAAAGGCCATCGGAGTGGGCACGAGTGCCATCACATGGCCTCTCTTGCATGGACGCAAGTGGCGGCAGTGGCAACTTGCGACGCTCGCGCATCCGGGGGGCCGAGCAGCAAGTTCGAGGGGCCTTCCCAAAGGTGGGCACTCGAGGTGATGATTTCGTCAATGGCGAACTCAGACCTCAATGAGTTTCGCCGGGCGGCCTACACGTCTCGTCACGCCCCACTGGCAAGGCGCGCGAGCGCGTGGACGAATGGCTGCAAGCTGCCCTGATCCAGGGAAGACTCATGAATGGCAACCCAGTGCCGCCCGGGACCTCCCCCATGCCCAGCTTGGCCGAGACGCGGGGCCAACTGGGCGAGGAGGAGCGCGCCTCGGCGGTGTCGGCGCGGATGAATTTCGACCGACTGTCACAGGAGCGCATCGACATCCTCTTCGCACGGTTCGACATTCTCCGCGACCAGGCGCAGCAAGCCCGTCGTGTTATGATCGGTTGCGAGGCCCTCTGCTCCCCCTGGCTGCGCGCCGCTGTCGCGTCGAACGCCCAGCTGGCCATGATCTTGCAACGTCGCAGCATGGCCCGCCCCCGCGAACGCAGCACTGCTCGCGCACATGACGGGCGAGCTGCGGCGTGTCAGGCATATGATCGAAGGATTACCGGGCGACCTCGCCTCGGTGGCCCGAACTGCCCGACGACTCACCTATCATCTTATGGGCACGCCCGCGCAAGATCAGGTCAAGGGCGCCCGCGGCACCGCGGCTGGATCGAGCTTGGGCGGAATAGGCACAGCTGCGCCGGGAGCGGCACCGAGCGCCCTACGCCCGCAGCCGCCGACAGCGCCAGCACGGCGTCACCAGCGCAGGGGGCGCCCACAGCTGCGGGCGTCGACTCGGGCGCCGACGCCGACGCCACTTGATCGCACGGCGATGATGCTGCCGCGGAAGACCCCGAGCTTCTCGACGCCCGCGTGGAACATCGCGGCGCGCCCCTCGCTCCTGGGCCCACGAGCGCGCCAAGACGCGCCAGCGCAGCTGAACAACCGCCAGCCCCCGCGCCGCGCCCGGGGAGTCATCGAACGCCAGGGCAAGGGCCACGGCGAAGGCCACCGCGCTTTCCCGGCAAACCCGCCCGAGAACGACTTCCAGGAAGCTTTCGCGGGCTTCGGGAAGAGCTGAGGTGCGGGCCAGGGGAAAGTCAGGGCCAGCCGCGCGGGTTCAGGCCGCCACGGCAACCCCGCGGTTCTTGGCAGGGCGCGTCTCAAATGCCACGAGTGCGACCCCGTGGAGCACCGCGCACGCGATTGCCCCCGGCGCCGCAATTCCTCTTCCTGGGCGCCTACACCCCATCGTCATCATCACCGCCAGCGCCCTCGCAGCTTGCGTTTCTGGGACAGCAGGGGGCACTGGGGCCGTCCGAGCAGCTGCCCGCGCCAGGGGCGCCGGAGCACGGCCCGGGGCAGCTCCGGGACGCCGCGGCCCTGGGCAACGGGTAAACGATCCCACGCAGGGCGCCGCTGACCCTCAGAACGGTGGACAGCCGACTCCAGCAGCATCGGCGCCGCGGCCGGCAGCGCCGGCGGCCGCGCCGCTTCAAGTGCGTCGCCAGGCGGCGACGCCGAACAGCGACGACTACGACGGGAGGTGGCAGAGCTCTGAGCCGCGCGGCAAACTCCACAACCGGCGGGCCCCGCGACCGCGTCACCAGCCCGCGCGGAAGCAGCGGGCGAGCCAGAATTATCCGCGGCAGCCCCAGGAGCAGCAGCCGCGCCAGCAGCGCCCACTGCTCCAGCCGCCTCCACTGCGCAAAGACAACAAACACAACAACGGTGGACACGAGTAGGCGGCGCACCCCCACTTGGCGCAGGCTCAGGGGCGCGACTGGGTAGGCGACCTCAACGCGCAAGCCGCCGCGCCCCCGGCCCCGCCTGCCGACGCGCAGTTGCCGAGTCGGGCATGCGCGCCTTCAGCGTCAGCCCCCGGCATCGGCGCCCCGCGTGGATTGAGCTCCACGCGGCCGCCGCAGTCCGCGCGCGTAGCGCGCCACCGCCGGCGACGCAGTCTGCCCGGGAGCCCAGGAGCTGGCTCTATTCAAGCAGGACAGCCCCGCGGTGGGTCAACCGGCAGATTGACGGGCCACGCGGTTCGCCCGCCGCAAGTCCTGGATGCCCAGCGGCGGCCGACCTGGGCACAACGCCGGCACCGCCCTCGACCGCGCGCAGCGACGGCACCTCGACGAGCTCCACAGCACACAGCTGGCACTTGGTCGCATGCGGCAGCAGGGCGAGCAGCGACGGCGGGCCGCGCGGAGTTGGACAGAAACCTTCGTTAATCCTCCTGCGACAGCCGCTCCACCTGCCGAGCCCCCCTCAGTCGCGGCTTGCGCCGGCGAGGTCATCCAGCACGGCGCGAGGGCGACGCGGCTGCAGCGCCACCGCATCTTGCGCCGCGCAGGCGATCTGCAAATGATGTCGAGTACAGACACTTGCCCGGCGCACTGTCCGGGGCGCCGTGGCCCGGCCGAAATCGCGGCCGATTTCCGCCTCGTTGGCGCAGATCACGCGCCCGCGGGCCCGGCGCTTGCGGCGCCGGCCCGCGCGGCGGCAGATAGGAGCGCGCTTGAAAATACCCTTTCGCAGCAGGGCCTCGCGCAGCCTCCCTGGCCAGCCCCAGGCCTCGGGACGCCTCCGCGAGACCTCGCGCAGTCGCCGGGCAGAGCGCCCAGCGTCGCGCCCGCAGCGGACACGGCGGCGCCCTGCGACGCCCACGCCGACCTGCACATGCCGCCATACAGGCCAAATCTCCCGCGGTGGCCGACTTCCTCGGGCACAGGCTCTGGTTCGCCGAGCGAGTCGCCGCCGCGCATGGCGAGCGCCGATCTACTGGGTGCCCAGCGAGGCGTCATTGTCATGGTCGACACCGGCTCCTGGGCGAACTTTCTGCGGCTGCGTTTCGCCGAAATTTTTGCCCGCGAGGCCCGGCGGGCAAGGTCGCGGCCCCCCAAGGATCGTGAAGTCGTCAACGCCGCTGCGCGGCAGGAGTTGGCAACGGGCCATAGGTTGCGCACAACGAGGTTGCCCCACTGC